GTAACGATTCTACTAATTCTATTTCAAAAACAATACCAAATGAATATTATTTATAGAAATTTTCATAGTACACTCCTCACCGGTCGAAAGAATAAATAAATGTGTATTGAACTGGATATGATGGCTTTTCAAAATATGTTTGTTAAAGTTTATTTAATCAATTTTCAAAGTATCTAAAAAAAATAGTTTCTTTTATTAACAAGACAACAGCAAAAATAGATTTTTTTCAGATAAGTTGATAGAAAAATCAGTTAGAGTTCCAACTAGGATAATAATGACATCTGAAACATTAATTTCAAATATGTAAACCTTATGTAGTTTTCTATATATATGATTGACGGTTTAAATACATACCTGACAATTCAAAATTTTCTGTGCGCACCTCATGAAGTAGATTTGTCTTCAAAGAAATCAATTGAAAGTCTTGATTCATTTTTATTTCCTCTTTCGAACGATGAAAACCGCAGCTTTCTATCTCCTTCCTATGAAAAGTTATTCCAAAAATATTCACTCATTTTTATTTCTTTGAGCATATTTAATAAAGATTGATTTAGATTTCATTGAATTTATTCTACAATTCTTAGAAAGATATACTATTTCAAATATATTATAAAGTCAATCATTAAATATCAGTATTTAACTTTTTTATTTAATTATGTTGAATTGTAAAACAATGATCTTTTACAAGAACAATACATTGAATTAAATAGCAGGTCGTACAGAGAAATACAATGGTAGTTCTGATCCATTATAGGACAAAATCTAAGTATGGTTGTCAGTTACCGTTTTAGATAGTTTTTTCACTGTTTGGCAAGTGAAGTATTACAACTGCATATGATTGTATTGTAAATGATCGTAAATCGTTGCATAGATACGTTTTAGATTGTCTGATGACTGGTATCAATTTTGTAGTGCACTCTAAAATACGATTGTAATGATAACCGGTCACTTGAATCTACAACAGTTGAACCTTCATACTAAAGTCTTTTAACATTTGAGCCTAATAGTATGAGTGATCAAGATCAAGTTTTAAAAACCTAATATACATACACAATTTCAAAAAATAAAAGTTCTTAAAAGTTTCATTTTAAAGTACATTTGATTTATTTTGAAAATTAGTTGGCAACGGCTTAAATTTAAAATAAAATAAGATGTTCATGTTAGTGTTTTGATGGGTAGATTGAAAGCGTCCATAGGTTGAAGTCAGGGGAGCACATCCACAGATCATGCTTTGTAGTAAATGCTACTTTTCTCGTGTATATATATATGTGAACTGAACTAGACAGCCAGTAATTTTTGTTTCGAAAAGAACTCCTTGTAGGAAAGAAGATTAATGATAACATTTTCAATATCTTTTTATGTTAATTTTAAACGTTTGCTCATTGATCGTTAGAAGAATTTTTTCTATTTTTAAATGAATTTTTTTGAATTATTTCATATTTTATATTTTTCAGAGGTTTAGTTTTTTGACACTATGAGCATATTAGATTTTAAAAACCTGATATTGATCATTCATTCAATAACGAGTTGCTTCTCCTTTGTTTGTTCATCAGTATAAATCACATATACTGTATTCTATTAGGATTTATTTGTTTTTGAAAAAATTTCTCGATGTATTTGACCCTTTCGGCGACTATAATTATTGACCTGAAAAATTATGAAATATAATATGTCAATTTATAACAATTAAAGATCTTTTACGAAAATGTTTTTCTAATGTCAAATGATTTTAGAAGTGAATGATTTAATGAATTGTTCAATAGTATATTGATGAGAATGTCATCGAATAATTATTAAAAGTTAGAGAATGACTCTCTAAATAATATTATGTTTAATTAAAATGATATTATATTAATGAGTATTTCAATATGAAATAGTGAATAGATAATTAATTCTATATTATCTTCATTGATATAGAGAGTGATCTAAAAGTAATCGAATACTTTTTTTTTACTTTTTTTTTGTTCGTAGTCAGTTGAGTCTCATATTTATATGAAATATCTCAGATAATATCAGTGAATACAAACAAGTCTTTCTGGTTATCTATGATAATAAAAAAAATTCGATGCTTTTTGATTTTTATAGATTTTCAATGTGGAAGTTGAAGCTGATTTAATTACACATTATACTTATTTAGTTTGAGAAAGATAAAAACTAATTATTAAGTGATATTGATTTTTTTCAGATTTGAATAATCAGACAAAATTATGGAAATCGAAAAACACCGAATTTTTCTTATTATCATAGATGAGCAACAAGATTTATTTGCGCACTTTTGAACAAATAATTGCATCCAATAACTGACCATATACTTGATATTTGACTAATAGTACTTCGTATATGGTTTATAAAAATAGGACCTGTCTGACCTTGTAAAGAAAAAAAAAATAGGAAAACTAGTGTATTGTCTCATTTTGAGCCACGTTGTATACGTGCACATAGATAAAATAGGTTTTATTTCAAGCTGAAATTTTTTATTTAAAATATTGAAATATTTCAAAGTAAAATCTGTAGAATGAATATTATTGATAAAAATACATTAATTTAATCTATGTTGTCATTATCAGTTAGCCTTATATTCCAATATTTTTATTTTCTATATCTTCAGTTAATTCTAAGCAAAAATGTGATTTTTTTTTTCTCTCAGTTATCGTATAAATATATTGCTAATGATTTATTATTAATTAAGTTGTATGCTTTCATAGAAATAAAACTTGTTAAATATTTCTTTAAAATGATTTCTTAAAGTTATTCAAAATAGAAACTATTGTCGTAATCTAATATTAACTTGTAAATTTTGTTTATACCATCAAAAATCATTAAGAGAATTTCATTAGAAAATAATTAAGTAGAAAGATATAGTTAATCTATGATCTTGTATACTTACAAATAGTATATTAACTTGTTGCAATATAACATCTACCGAAAACAACACGTAAGATTTTAGCTGTTTTGTTAAAGTCTTCAATCAGATTTTTAGTAATAACAAGTTAACATAACGAACGATGTAAAAGTAATGACACAAAAATGTTGATCAATATTTCACTTCGATAAAACAGACGTTGAAAGAAAGCTTCTTTTTAGCAAAATATAGCGTTTTTTTCTCGTCTTTCGAATGATATATCATTTATTTTTATCCTACGTCTATAAATGAAACAACATAATAAAAACATCTTGTAGTTAACAATTAATTATAATTAATTGCCATCTGAAAGATGATTTTAAGAACTTCGAAAAAGTGTAGATAGTCAGACTTTGGAAGAGCTTTTGAAAGAGTAGAAAAAAAAAGTCGAATTAATCATTGTCTATCAATATGCTCGCGACAATTTCATATTGAAAATAATAAATTGATTGTACGAATGTTTCTCTTTTATTCTAGTCTTATTTCATTTATGAACATATGTTAAATATGAATAAGACACTATTCAAAAGAAAAGAAAATTTTCTATCAATTGGTATTAAATCTTTCTTTTCAACACATTGTTATCGAATAAACATAGAAGCTAATATTTTGTATCCTTTTCCCACGTTTTTACAAAGAAATGAAAAATTTTTTCTGAGGAGTATCTCTCATTTTTATTATGTTGTTTTGTTTATAGGCGTAAGATAAAAAATAAATGATATATCATTCGAAAGAAGAGAAAAATTACTATCTTTCGATAAGAAAAGCTTTCTTTTAGCGTCTTTCTATCGAAGTGAAATTACTGATCAACGTTTTGTCTCATTTGTTTTGTATCATACATTCGTAAATATATAATATCATAAGCAACTTGTACATTCTACTTAACTATTTTCGAATTGAATTCTCTTGTTGATTATTGAGTATCTTTTAATTTATTAGTTTAAATTGGTTTATATGAATCTTTTTTCTTTATTGTCTAGAATATATTTAAAAAATCATTTTATAGAAATAAATATTTAATAATATTCGTTTCTATGAAAAGACACAATTTAAATAATAAAAAAGTAATTATAGTATAAATGAGAACAAAAACAAAAAATCCTATTTTTCTGAGTATATTTAATTAGAATTTGAATTAAAAAAAATAAAATATTTAACGATCATAATTGAAGAAGAAAAATAGATATAGAGTTAGAAGATTGATACGATTTAATAAAAAATTATTTGAGAATATTTCTATAGAAAAAAATCAGTAAAATTATCAATATAATATGATATTGATTAGACAAACATTGAATTTTGAAAATAAATTTAATTTTATAAGACTAAAAATAAATTTATATATAAGAAAAACTAATCATATGTCACTTGACCCGTCTTATATCTTGTGTACTTGATTTAATTGATGATTAAATATCTATCTCTATTTATATCTTTTTTTTGTCAGCTAAGACGCAAATTAATCAAATCATAACAAATATTAAGATATATATCAATATTTAATTTAAATATTAAAAAAATTTATTTCATTTTTTTTTTTTTTTTAAATAAATACTAATAAAAACAAAATCTATTATTAATAGTATATCGAAAAAAGTTAACACTTATATCGTATAGATCAATAAATATATTGATTATTAATATGATATTAAGCAGATGGTTATTTATACAAGGTCTTATTAAAACGAAATAATATTGAGGCAAATATTTTTCTTTTCTCTTAACGTGTTCTTGATCAAGATTACAAAATCACCTGATACTTTGCTCTTTGATATTCGTCATAACGTGAAAAGGTAATTTGAGCATAAAATAATGGACGTCAATTAATGGGAAAAATGTATAAAATAACAATGAAAATCAAAATAATTGATGATAATGCATTGTCATGCATCGAACAATAAATAAGAAGAATAAAAAATATTTATTATTGCGCATATTTTATTATTCATAATAATTGAAATGAATCACATAATAATAAATATTTAAAAGATAATTAACAGTTAAATAAAATGAAAATATTTATTATTATCCATAACATAAATAAAAAAGAAAAAAGAAAAAGAAAAAGAAAATTTCAAGTTTTTATTGTTTAGATATTCTATAATCGATGAGTTAAAAAAATCGGTGATTTTGAATTATTTTGATCAAATTTTGATTGTGATAAATATACAGAAGTTGATTCAGTTGAATTTCGTGATATTGTATGAACTGATGGTTGAGGTGTTTTTTCTTGAATAACTTCAATTATATTTGGATTACTTCCTTGTTGTTTTAATTTATCTTCTTTAGGATTTTCATCAATTTGCATTTGAATTGGTGAAAGACTTTTCATTAAAGAACCTAATGCTGAATCTTCAGCAACAAAATCTTGTGGAACATGCCAATTAAGACTATCATCAAAATAAGAATCATTATCTGGTGTAGCAAATATAGGTAAATGAAGAAAAGCTCCAGTTAAAAGACCACCAACAATAGCCATACCTAATGTTAAAACAAGACCAGCACATTGATAACCAGCTTGAACTGCAGCTGATCTATGTATACCTCCTGATAAACATTTTGATGTTAAATTTTCATGATAAAATGATTTCCAAGGCATACTAGCAACAACAATACCAGTTAAACCTGCTAAAACTCCAGGCATACCATGTAAATTATGAACACCACATGTATCATGTATATGAATTCTTTTTAATAATTCAAGTAAATATTTATAACCTAATGTTGATATTGTTCCAGCAAGACTTCCTATTATCATAGCTCCAAATAATCCAATATCTTTATCAGCTACAGTACCAACAGCAACACCACCAGCTAATGTTGCATTTTGTATATGAATTATTTCTTCTTTACCTTTTCCAACAAATGCTGATATAGTAAATGTTAATATAACTGATGCACTTATACTAATATATGTATTAACAATAGCACGTAATCTTCCATCTCCATATGCTGTACCTGCATTAAATGATGGCCAAAAACAAAATAAAAATAATGTACCTATCATTGAAAATACATCAGATGCATAACTTGAACTTTCTTTTGGCGATTGAACTTCGTGTCGATGTTGAAGAGCATATGATGCAGCTAAACCAAAATAAGCACCAAATACATGAACAAATATTGATCTATAATTATTATATATATATATATATATATGTATGGAAAAAAACAAACAATAAATACATACTCTCCAGCATCATAAACACAAAAAAGTACAGTACCAATATATTCATTCCATACTTGAATAACAACTTCAACTAGTGCAAGTACAATTAATTGTGCTGGATTTGTTTTTCCAAGAACAGCACCAAATGATATTAAAACCGATGCACATACAAAATCTGCTTGAAGAAGAGTTTTTGTATTAACTGGAAATGATTTTGTTAATGTATTCCATTCAAATACATAACCATGAATTAATATAGCCCATTCAACAACAAATGCAGCTATTAAAAAATTAAATGAAACTGATGAAAATGAATAACGACGAAGAAAAGTCATTAAAAAACCAAAACCAATAAACATCATAACATGAACATCTTGAAAAAATGAATAATAAAATTCAACATCACCAAATGATGGTGGACTATTGTGAGATTGTGTTTCATTTGAATTTATACTTTCCTCATGTCTTAATCCATAATCAGCATGAACACCAAATAATATTATAAATATACATTGAAATACTAGCAATGCCGCTGGAAACATATATCGTTTCTGAGTTTCTTTAATTTTTTCTTTAACTTCATCAAGATCGACCACAGTCATCTTCTTTATTGATAATAATACGTTGCTTATAACTATTCAATACAAAATGTTTTGCTTATTTATTTGAAACAATCGTCTGCTTTTATATAATATTCAGTGAAACGTTCTTTTCTTTTTTTTTTCTTTTCTTTTTTACTAAAATATTTCGCCTTGCAAACGTCTATTATTTGATTTGTTAATTAAGCCACGCTTATATTATTTTCTTCTCAATCGAGAAAATTCAACAAAACACACGAACAAATGAAATGTGTTAGACCAAACAATAAACAAATCAAATTCATGTGATTGCAATAATAAGCGCATTTCATACATTCAAGTGTGAATAATCATTGTTTATGATATTATTTAAATCCTGTCAAATCGATTATCGTCAATATGAGCACAATTATCGTCGAGAATATAGCCCTAAGTTTTCTTTCTACTCAAAAACTTCAATCTGCACTCATTTTATTTACGAAATTTAACATTAAACTTATATTTATCTTTATATGAACTTTTTAATTTATTTAAAAAAAAATGTTCATTATTAAAATTGATTTATTTTAATTTCTTATGTACCTGACTGAACATAGACTCATTTATCTTATAGTATAATAACTATTTTTTGTTTAGCCCTTTCCAATATGTTCGATTGATCAATCATTTGATTAAACAATAATTTACTTTTTTGTTTTTGATAAATACATTGATTAATCAAAATCAAAAAGAATCCTTTGAAAATAATGGTTGTTTTTACTTGAATACTTTGTTGACAGTTTTTGAAATTTGTCCCTTAATGACTTATGACTACCTCGATCTGATAAAATTATTTTGACATTATCGATAAATTTTAAGATGAGATTTGTTTTCGAAGGTTAAAAAAACCTTTACAAAAAAACAAAAGAAATTAATTATTTAACAAAAAAAACTATGTCAATTTATTAGTGTTTCTAATTGTTATACTTTAACTGATATCGATATAGAAATGAATATGTGCATTTAAAATAATGTTTTTTTTTGTTTCCTTTTTCATTAATCAATTACAGATTTAAGGACACACATATAAATTTCTTTTTTTTTTTTCTAAATCTAATAATGAAAAATTTTCAAGCGCAATAATAAGTTTGAATTAAATTAAAAATGAAATTCATATTTGAATTGCAAATAATTGGATAGTATTAGAAAGTCACTCTTCATATTTAATATGGTCAATAAGGATTGACACTTGCACATCGATCGAAAGAAAACAAAAATCAAGACGTTGATCATTCAAAAAACAAAAACAAATTCAGACGAATACTGATTAACCTAATTTATCATTTTCTATTTATTTATTCAGATCAATTTAAAAAAAAACACATATAATTTATTTATTTCGAATAAGTTTATTAAGAATCCATATGATTATAACTCAATAATATAAAACAAAAAAAAAAGAGAATTTTTTTAAATGTCAAACAAATAAATACAAAAAAAAAGCTATATCTTATTAAAGATTTACAAATATATAGCTTAATATCAGTCACATCGATAAGTCTATAAATGATTAATGACAATCATCGTTGTTCTTTAGAATTGTTTCGTGCGAAGCTGTGAACCGAATCAAATCGAAAAAGAGAGAAGCCTTCATTGATAGCTAAACTATTTCTTAATAATATAGTAATGTACTTGACGAATAATTTATCTCGATTTCTATTCATATATTAGTTTCAATATTGTTATTACGATTTCTTTTTTATGTGTCTTTGAAAATAATTCTCATTATAATATAAACAATAGTCCATTTAAATAAAATTATTCTTATAATAATTGAATTTAAATTTAACATATCATTAACTCAATAGTCAAAAATTTTCTTTATACATATTTTTTTATTTTTATATTAATTAATAATCGATAAAAAAAAAAAGAATCCTTCCAAAGAATGTCAATATATTTTTGACAACGGTCATCTTTTATGGAACTCACATATATTTTCGAAGAAAATAGTGAGTGCAAGTTTTAAGTTCAAGGTTTCGTGGCTCCCCCCTCATCTTATAGACAGGCCCCCCCGATTACAGACACCCCCATTACAGACTGTAGCAAGTTCGCCAAAAATAGAAACAATGTCTGTTCGAAATATAGAGATAAAGAATTATATTTTGGAGAAGTTCAATATTGAATATTTTGTGATTAATATAATGAAAGCAAAGAAGATATGTGAGTTCCACATTTCAGCTTCAAAGGGGCTGCGCTAACAAGCTTTTTTTTTTCCTTTGTTAAAATCATTTCGAAAATTTAATATTATTTATAAAATTAATTTGAAGATAAGAAAGAAAAAGAAAAAAAATTCTATTGTTTGAGATGCGAAAATGTTAATATGATAGAAATAGTCAAAAATCAACATTTTTCATATTATGTTAATGGTTCTATTAAATAATATCAACGAATAATATTAATTATTATTATGTATTTTAATAAAATAAAATTATCAATCAACATTTTTGATAATATCAAAATCGAAAGCTTATTGATGTGCATGTAGATCTTCTTTTTAATTCCATCTAACATGTATATTCTCTCACTACAGCTTAAATCCAATAAATAATCATTTCTGCATCTTTTTTTATGCTTATATTAATTTTGATAGATTTAATTAATTATTCTATTAAGAAATATATTAAAAATTCATCGACTGATTTTCACTATAATTAAATTATTTATTTTTAATAACATTGAGAAAATTGAATTGATGACTAGTTTTTTGTTGGTGTTGCTTATCATTAAGATTTATTTGCCTTTTGGAAACTTTTAAAATGTACTTGAAAAAGATAAATATTTCAAAATCCTAATTCTTCTATATTAGTTAATTTTATTTCGATTAAATCTAATTATTGTTATTTGATTTTATTCATTTTCAAACTGTACAATTAATAATTTATCAGTATAAATATTATTAAATTTGTTTTTTCTCACTAATCTAACGAAGAAACTTCTTCAGATGTTTTTAATTTTTTTCAAACAAAAGTACAAAATTTGAACAAGAAAAATGATAAATCGAAGACGATAATCATTGGTTGAATAATTATTCGTTGAAAAGAAAATTTATTGAATGAACTCTTCATCGAATAATAAATAATTGGTCGATTGATATTTCGTCAAATCATATTTTGTCAGAAATGACTCAGTTAGAGATATATATAAAATAATTCTATCAGTGTTTTCTAACACACAAGAAAAAAGACAAAAAAAAAAAAATCAATTCTTAGTCATATTTCGCATTTTTTGATATAATTAATGTTCTTTTTCATTAATATAAATGACATGATGATGTAGGCAACCTATTAATAAGTTTGATGCGTATATTTTTCTTTTTCTACTGACAGCTATTATTATATTCGTTATCAACGCACTAAAATAAATAAAAAAAAATTGAATTGAAAACTACTAAAACCTAATGCAAAATCAATACTCACAATTTATTATTTTGATCCTTTGTTTTTTTTTTTTAATCGGTATTTGTTGTTGATTCATCTACAATTAATAATGAAATGTCAATAGTTTCATTTAACATATACATTTAATAGAACTATAATCCTTAAAGGAACTGACTTACAATCGAACTACGCTTTTTATTTATATACTTTATTATTGAGCAGAACATTTATAATTACGGCAAAATAATTAATAATTTTAGTGATATTTTGTTTGGATAAAGTATGTATTGACGAAATAACTGTCGATGAAATATCATTTGATCAACGGATAGATTATTGGAAATCATGAAAAATATAAACGAAGAATAATCAATCCAATAGTCTTATCCAACAAATATTTGTTTTGTTTGTTGATTATTTGTGGGGGTGTGAGTGTGTCCTGTACAAATAAAAAACGACGTTGAAACAACAAGTGACACGATTACAGTCGAAATGATTTTCTCTTGAATATAAACCTTCAAATATCTTATTTATAGCACTTTTTCAGATTTTTTTCTCGAGACTTTTCTTTTCTGAATTTATCGACAAAAAAAAATAATCTTGGTATTTGAGAATATGATTATTATATTGAATATTGATAAAAGTTATATATATAAAGTTAGTTTAAATGTAATGTATTTTTAGTAAGACTAACAAACAGGGCTGGCCCGAGTCAGCAAACATTGGGGGTTCTTCCGGATTTTTGTAATGCGAATAAAACTTTTGTCTAAGAGTACTCAAGAAAAAAAAATTATTTTCGCTGGGAAAAAATAAAAATTTTCGATTATTGGGGCTTGTCATAACCTCTACAACCCCCTATCGGGCCAGCCCTGAAATGAGTCATTAAAGTAAGAAGAATTAGAAAGAAGTATTAGTTAAAAATTATCTTTCTTCATAAATTCTTCTTTTTTTTTTGTTTTTTCAACTGAAAGTTTCAAAATTCAAACATACTATAAAAACTAAGTTGATAAATTGTTAAATTCTTAATTTCTAATGAAAGTAATTTCGATTAAAATAAATCGAACAAAAAAAATTTAACTCTTAACTAAATCTTCTATAATAATAATATTATTATTATTATTCGTCAAAATGATTTTTGAACATCTCGAAAGTTTTCTTCATATATTCAATGTTGATGTTTTAAATAGATAGATTATATTTGTTTTTCAATTTGATTAATAAGATTTATTAATTAGTTAAATGAATAATTATTTGATGATGCTTTTTTCTTATGTCAAATATTTTTCGAAGTTGAATTTAATCAAGTTAATAAAAATATTTTGTAAATGAGACTAATCACATATTATATAGATTAATCAACACTCAACGATAAAACCTTGTTCAGTCAATAAATGTGCAAAAATTTAAACAAAAAATCTATTTTTCATCTAAAAGTTCTATCTGAAAACAAAAAAAAAAACATTTGATTACAATTGTAAACTCTCATTATAGTAAAATGGTCATAAATAAATAAAAAGCAGAACAAAAAAAAAATAGGTTGATATTAATTTGTTATCAAAATAAAATAAGAAAGAGTTAATAAAACTAATCATTAAAAACAATAATAGGATTGTATAATAAATAATAAAATAAATGAAATGAAATGAATCATAAATATCGAAACGAATATGCTTAACTATTAAATAAACAAGAATGAATTCAATCTATATTTATTTTTTATCGAAAATAATGATAATAATATCTAAGATAACAAAAATAACTAATATCAATAAAATTTAGAATTATTTAGGTTAGATAAAAACAAACATCGCTGATGACGAATAAGTATAGAAAGAATGTCTCATTTTATTTAAAAACAATGTTTAACTAACGAGGGAACGTTCCCAAGTGATTAAAAGCTTTTGAGCTCATATGTTACCCATTAGGTAGAGGACCACTAGATTAGAGAAACCTCCAAAGGATTCGTGCTTATATTGAGATTTGACAGAGATATCGAATTTTTAATGGATTTTTCCTGCTGGACCCTAGTTCTACAGCAAAATCATATTTTCGAATTTCGACCTGAAACTTTGCCCAAATGAAGGCTTCGATTAGAGTAGCTTATATAGAAAATTTCAGAATTTTTGGACATTGCATTTCCAAGGTATCAATTTTTGAAAATATAGGCACTTTTCTATGTATAACATGGATACTTTGAAAGATTGATACCTTGGAGATGCAATGTCCAAAAATTCTGAAATTTTTTATACAAGCTACTCTAATCGAAGCCTTCATTTGGGCAAAGTTTCAG